ATGCACGTTGCAAGGAGTTCCCGCCATTTGTATTTAAATTTGTGCCCCACTATTGGCTGTTTCTAAATTATTCCCACGTGGCGGCTAGTGATTGGCTTACTAGCTGTATAAAAAGCTTGAGTGGTTTCCGCCCAAGTTGGAGGACTGCACGAACATCAGGAGGAGGAGACTTCACGTCTTGTGAAGATCTCTAAGCGCTGCGGAGCCTATTGGACCCAGCGTATTTCAAGAAGGCAACAGAGGTCTGATCAGCCTCTAGCTTCTCCCTGTCGCCGAGCGCAATCCTCGACGTATCCCTCTCCCTGCGCGCAAAAAAAGGATCCACGGAGCCTCGACAACTCCGTGTGAGTGAGAGTTTTTGTCCGAGTCCTCAAATGAGGATTTAAGCGGAGCTGTACCTGGGAAACTGTCCAGCCTACACCGCGACCATCTACGGTGTAAGTAAACAATCTTGAATCAACCATTACGCGTCCGTGCCTAATTCTAGCGTGTCGCCTGCTTTCTCCGACCCAGCGTGTCCGGGCTGCTGGCCACAGCCCGCGGTGCACAAAAGGGCCCCGGATCGCTCTCGGCCCGCACGCTTTCCATCCCACTTATCTTGCACTTTTCTCCCCTCCCTCCCCCCCAAAGAAAACGAATAGAAACAAACAGGAAATACTTCTCTGGAGATGCATAAAAGAAACCATTCTAAAAACATCTAAGTGATGGGGCACAGGCAGGAAAGAAGTCAAGGAAGAGTTAAATGCTAGAGCAGATGGTATATCCTCTGTTTCATATACTCCCTGAAAGTGAAAAATAAGATAGTGGGCAGGAAATGGTTTGTTGTATTTTTAAATTACTCTTGTTGTTTTGGAACATTTTATGTCAGGATCATTTAAGTATCATGTCATATGGTCATCATGGGTAGATAAGGACAGAGCCAGTGTGCAAGCACTGAGCTGCTCCTCTTGCATGGAACAGCTACTCAGCATTAAATACTTTTATTTTAAAAATATAGCTCTTCTCTCTTCTCCCTATAATGGCAAATATCAGCTTATACAGATGAGTGAAAACTGATCACAAAAGTAAAGAGTGAACAGTTGCATTCTGCCTCTGAAGTGGTAGGACTCAGGAATCACAAAATCAGTTGTATATCTAAAGGGAAGACGCGTAGCAGAACAGCTGTGTGAACCAAAGGAAAAAAATATAATAGTCTATCTGAATCATGTGATTGGAATATACTAAACATGAACACATTGTTGTCAAGATAAGAGAATGTCACTGTGTGCTTTGGTCAGCTTTGTGCCTGTAGCAAATATAAGATAAAAGCTAGTATTAAGGTCTCTGGATTATGGCTACAAGACTGTCTTGCTTATGATAAATTTCTTAGTCAACATTTATTTTAGTATTTTTCTTTTATTATTACCTTAAGTAAAACTAAAGGAGGGAATATTATAATTCAGAAGGTTTTTGAAGGAATGGAGAATTGAATTCTATTTGTGTTCCTTTCTGTCATGCTCGTAACTTGCAGGTACATTTGTTGCCAGGGCCCAAAAATCATGTGATAAAATATTCATTGCATAAGCTGATTACATTTACTCATGTTAGTTTAATAACTGTGAAATAAAATATAAATATACTCATTCATGGGCGACTGGTGACGCCTTAGTCGGGGGGGCACGTGCCCCTCCAGTGAGGGGTAGGGACTGATGCTCCTGCTTGCCCCCCCTGCCCGTCATCTAAGCAGCGAGCATGGCTAGTCTAGGGGTGTTCCAGCACTCTCAGGGGTGCACGTGCACCCCTGTGCATGCCCTATGCATCACCACTATATTCATTAATTAAATTAGTATATTAAGCTTGTATCCACATGAAGTAGGATTCTGTGTCACTTTATATGACCAAATGACTGTTTTCTGTTAAGTGGCATGTTTGATGCTCATGCACAGTTTGTGATTCTATTACCCATGCAGCATACACATCCATATGGCTGTGCAATATGCACAGTAGGCTACTCAACAAGATAAAGAAATGTTAGTGAGAATGAAGCCTAGAAAAGTTTGAGGTCAAGTTATGGGAAATAAGTTCTAAAGCTGAAGTACTCTCAGTGATATAAGAGATCTCTTCCACTGGATAGTGGAGATAATGGTGGGTCCTTAAGGGATTTTCAGGTCAAAAGCTACACCTTACATTTTGCTAAAAGCACTAATATTGTGTGTGCCTGGAAAGCTGCTCCTTTTAACACTTCTCATTTCACACCAGTGCATCTTCATTTGCTTCAGTAAAGGGACTCCCTAGACTAAGTGAAGTTCAATTTCTGTCCCATATGCTTTACTTTTATCTGATATGACAATATCAGCATTAAATAGTTATAAATTAAAGGGATTTGCAAAAGCTATAAAAAATAGGGACTCTACCTCGAAAATGACTGTGTTCTTTCTGTGAAGTTGTACTCTACATCAGTGTTGGGCAAAATGGCTGCTCCAGCCGCCAGCCGGACTCCAGTTCCCAGCAGCCCCTGCCCACATGGCTGAGGCGGTCTCCATGGAGACCCCAGCACAGCAGCAGCGTTGTGAAAGCTCAAGGCTGGGGTTGCCATGGAGACCAGCCCCAGCCATGCTGGCAGAGTGCAGGCAGAGCAGAGCAGGGATTGTTGGCTACAAAGGACCAACTCACAGGATCATTATAAATTCTAGTTTATTAGGATGTGAAGTTTTAATAACATTATAAATGTGAATTCTGGGGGGGTATGATGGGTAGTGGTCACCTTAGCATACACACGCGCACACATGCATTCACTTATTCAAACCCATGTAGTATAGTAGTTGCTGTAGTGATTGTGAGAGCATTGGTGTTAGTATATGTACCTCTCTGAGGCCCTGCAGATCTGCTGTTGATGGTCAGCTTCCTTCAGGGCAATGTCTTCTCCAGGAGGGGGTCACCTGCTTGTCCTTCTGTCTTGGTAGTTCGGGTGCTGAATGAGAGGGCACCACTGAGGGTCACAGTTCACTGCCTTTTATCCCTTCTCTGGCAGACTTGTGTGATCCCCCAGCATTATCTTGGCAGCGCAATCCAGAGGTCGCTATCCCACGTGGGTCTCGAGTAGTGCATAACAGCTGTTAGTCACAGTCACTGGGGGTTCCGCCCAATGGTGCAGTTTTGGGAGCCCACCCTTGATTTGATTGACTCAGTGGCTGTGTCCTTGCAGGTTTCAGGTGGCTTGATTAGCTTAAAATGGCTTGTAGAGTAGAGTTTTGTAATGGTAAATTCCTGTGGCTAGGCTATTGTCAATTAACAGCCAGATGCTCTTGCTTTGTCATTCAATTATCTACTGATTCATACATACTCGCATTCACTCAGGGGGACCAGCCCAATACAGCAATACAATTCCAGTGATTACAATTCCAATGTATTCTTATAATAATAGTTCTTGTAATACAAGGTATGACTCTAAAGAAAAATACATTTGTTAAAAGGTATAAAACATAAAATACAGAATGCCAGGACAAAGATGAGACGTGAAATATAAAAATGCACTGTGAACAAAATATGAAAATTCATTGTGAGGTAGTGAGGATCAAAGGCCACTGGGGACAGTGAGTTAGGTTAGAGGCTGTCATCTAGACTGATTTAGCATAAAACTTTAGACAGGTATGGGAAGTTTGCTTTGGGAAACAGGTCTTAATCAAAGGGGGAATGTATTCACCAGGATATATTTAGAGTCATGCTTTCAATGCACCTTGGCTTTTCTTGTCTCTTATAGGATTTGCTTTGAAGTCAATATTTTAGTTCTTTTGTTTTCTTTAGTGACACAGCTCAATTGATATGTAAATGTAGTTTGTAGGTTTCTCCTACAGAAAGCCATTTCAGCTTTCTGGATTGCTCTGAGCCTTGCCACACCCATTCAATGAGTGTGCTAGATCTCTGCCAGTACTTAAAAACAAAAAGAAATGCACAAAAGGAGGGGGGGTGTAGGCAAGAAGGGGCTTTTGTTATATCAGTGCCCAGAAGGGGAGTGTACAAAGGGGGCTCCCTGTTTTAGGGACTGCTCTAGAGCTTCTGGGATCTTGCAATGGAGGCAGCTTGCTCCAGAGTCAGGGCAGAGCTGCGATCTGTAGCCTGCACAACCGGGCAGGGGCATGCAGGCAGGGGGCTGCAGCTCTGCCCCTGCTCTGGATCAGGCTGTCACCGCTGCAAGGAGCTGGGGCAGAGCTGCGATCCCCTGTTTGCACACCTCTGCCTGGAGCATTCAGGCTACAGATCATGGCTCTGCCCTGGCTCCGGAGCAAGCTGCCCCCATTGCAAGATCCTAGTGGCTCTGGAGCAGCCCCCTGCCCTGGTCTACTGCACAGTTTGCCAGCACTGTGGCAAACTCCACAGTTTGCCATGGAGACCAGCTGGGGCTGGTCTCCATGGCAACCCCAGCCTTGAGCTTTCACAATACTGCTGTGGCTGGGGTCTCCATGAGGTCACGTGTACATGGTAATGGCATCACGTATACAAGTGCCCCAATGAGTACAACCATTTCCCTTCTGACATCTAGTCTCTTAGATCCCCTTGCCAACTTGCAATTTGTGCTGAATGACTTGGGTTATAATTAGTACTTTTCTATGAATTTGCTAATAGTGTTTTGTGAACCATGCAGTTATAAGTTTTATTTTGGGATTTTTTTCAGAGAACAAATGCAGTTGGGTCCAGCAATGCAGATCTCCTGTCAGCTAATCCAGGAATGTACCAGTTGGACATCACATTGAAGAAGGGACAAAATTTAGCAGCACGGGATCGTGGAGGTAAGAATATTCTGATGAAATGTTGTCTTGCCATATGCATATTCTGTAAGTGATGTATTTGGTCATTAAATGACCTAAAGTAGCAATACTGCTAATCAGTCAAATTAATTTATAAAATGTCTCTATAGGATTGCTTACCCAGGGACACTAAGAAAGGAAAAACTGAATTAACAAAAGGTCTAAAATTTAAGTGCTTTAGTTAAACTATTAGGCTAAGTATAGATCTTCAAAAAGCCCAAAGCAGAATCAATCTAAGTTGCACAGTTTTCTGTAAATGGCACAGTTTAGATTGGTAACAAACAGAAAAAACATTCGCCCTAGGGAGGAGAGGGCAAATCTTAGATTGGGTTCCTCCATTTTTTAAATCAGTCTGTGTGCTGAACTTCTTTTCTGTTATGGGTGTAAACCAGTTTCCTATCGCTTATACCAGTAAAAGTGTAATGTCTGTACCTGGCCGTAATGACCTATGCATCAGCTGCCATTAAGTAAGCAAGGATACTCCTTGTCTGAGTTGGAGCAGACACACAGGGTTTTAATGTAGTTTAACTAAATGTTCTTTTGATTCATGTTTTTTTTTTAATTGGGCTTAACTTTCCTAAGAGACACCACGTAGAAAAGCTATAAGACTTGGATCAATTTAGTTGAGAATAGATTTGCTTAAATGTGGCCCTGCAGGCTGCACTGGTAAATAATGCACTGCAATAAATCTTCCTCTGACTACTTTTGTCATTAACTTTTTCAATATAAGAGTATGCAACTTTTGGTCAAATCCTAATATTTCATAAGTTGCATTTGGGATACACATTGGGCAGCTTAGTTTAGAAAAAAAAAGTTGACCCACAGGAATACCTAGTTTAGTTGTATTTGTTTCTTCTCTACCTGCACAGGCAGCTCCCATTCAAAATCAGATCACCAGCATATTCTGTCTTTAGTCCATTTTGACTTTTCTGAACAGCAAATTATATATGAAAAAGTTATTTTTGCTTACATTCACTTATTAAGGTCCCCTGGCACAAGAATTCCAAAACAAACCAAATAGGTAGAAATCTCGCCAGAGCTTATACCTTTTCTCCTTCTTCTAAAATCAAAACTGTATGACTCCAAACTCAATAATTGTTTTTTGGGAGATATGATAGTTTGGGGGACTTTTATGTTCACAATTTTTGGATTTTACTTTATATTATCCATTCTCTGTATCAATGTCAAAATACAAACTCCATTTTTTTTGAGCATCACTTCAATCATAAGACTATACTAAACAATGTAGATCTTTTGCAAAGTATTTTCCATTCGACATCAAGGGGCTGTAGTGGAACCTTCAAGGCAAAAATAAATGTTTAGACTTTTCAGAGAAACAGAATTTGTCAAAGAAACGGGATCACTGATCAGATGATCAGTTACTTAACCTGATGGAGATCTCAGCTGCATGTCATAGGTAAATGGAGTTATTCCAGATATACACTGCTTCAGCTGAGTTATAAGTATTGGGGTTTTTTGCAAGAACAACCTGTTATTAGTTCTTCCTTTTGATATATAGATGTACTAACAAACTGTACTTCAAGTCTTAATAAAACAAGATATTAAAATGATTCATTCCATGAACTGGAGACAAATCCATATAGTTTGCTTGGTTTCAAAAGGTAAAAAGTGTCAGAATACAAGTATTATTTGTTTTGTTTACAAGTGAAACGAAACTGGGATTGTAAATGTCATGCTTTATATATGAGGAAAACTGCTGTAACTAACAATTACAATTACCTTTTATTATCATTATTTTTGTATAATTAAGGTACTTAGAATAATACATAATTAAAGTACCAGGGCACCTAAAAATTAGGCACTACAATGTGTTACTCTTGTGTATCTGGTACCTGAACCTTGAGTAGGTGCTTAAGCTCCCAATATATATAGTGCATGAGGAAAGTTAGGTGCCTCCAAATGGCAGTTTAGATTAGTTGCATGCTGGCTAAAGCTAGCAAATGGAACCACTGCACAGGGAATTATTTCTTAAAACCTGCCCCTCTCTAAGCAGGTTCCTGACAATCTCCTGATAATAAGAATCTACTGACAATAAGAATCTACAATCATACTTTCAAAAAACTGAGCAGAGATCAAACAGACAGAAAAGGAGATAGTGGGTGGGCCCTGCACACTTTTAATGTAATAGCCTAGTGGTTAGAGCTCCGTTTACCAGGAAAGAAGAGGGTCGGGGTCCGTTCTTTGTACAGTCTGAGCAAGTGCATCAAACCCGTATTTTTCATCACCCAAGAGACTTGTCTAACCACTAGGTTACAGATTAGTCTGAGCAGAGGCACTTTCTACCCCTCCCCTTAAAGCTGTGCACCTTGTAGACAAGAGTGCCAGAGTCCTTGAGCCAGAAAAAGGAAACACAAGAACAGATGTCACACTATCGTCAAGGGGTGTCAAACTCACTCTGTGCAAGAGTCTCTCTGGGGTCAGCACTTTGCTGAGGGAAGGGATGGCTAGGGAACTTTTACAGTCAAACAGAGAGGCACTTTGTCTATATAGGCATTTGCAATGGTGTATCAATGTTTAAATACATCAGTTTTGCCTGCTTGCCTATAGCCATGTCTAAACAATAAATTTGGTGTGCCTATGAGCAGTGCCCTTGGCCATGCCAGGCTGTTCTGTGTAAACCTGGCTGGTCATCACTGTTATGGCCAGTTAACCTGGCCCTGTGCTACTTACCGTGCTTGTGGCATTGTGCAGACATGGCTGTGCTTCTTTTGGGTCAGGCTGATAGTCTGCAGAGTTTGGAGGCACATGGAAAGTTTACTGTGTAAAGTTGTCCTAAATTATTTTTTTGGATCTAGCACTTCATCCCACTGGTGTGACTTCAGGGATATGGGGACACTAATTAATAATCAGGGAGGGGAGACTCTGAACTCCTGGCATATTGCAGAGATGCTTGTGTAGGCCAGGGAACAAGGTGGTGATTGGCAATCAAAAGGAGGGGTCATGAGATACATACCTTAATACCCTGAGCTAGCAGCATGGTGGTGCTACTTTGGTATTCTAACTGAGAAACTGAAACACTTACCACAGGGATGCTTCCAAATAGACCTAGTGAAGTGGGTAGTGAATTTCTTCCCTGCCCCTCTCCTTCAACTCTTGTGCAGGTCACCTGCATAAAAGTCTGATTACTTGGGTTATATGCTGGTGCACTGAATTTCTTTCTTAAGGAATAGGTAAACTACAGGATAAAGATTTAATTTTCTTTTCTTTTACCTTCTCTGATGTTAATTTATTAACCAAAGTTTCCTGTCTGTTTACAGGAATCTATTCAGAATCTGTTGTAACATAATAATGAAAGTCATATTCATACTCATATCTTCACTGTCAGGCTGTTGAACTCTTTCAAGTACATGTAGTAGATTTCATATGAATCCTGCACACTTCCTGTTTCCCAAACTGAAATACAAAGGTCTAAATCAGTTTTAGCAAGAAAAGGAAAAGTGTGCAGCTGTATTTATATAACTAACTACAATAAGAAGCACTGTCAACAGTAATCATGGTTATTAGCTGAAAAATAGTACTGTTGATAATCACAACAAGGGAAGTGAAGAATATCATTCTTTTTCTCATGACAGGACCAACAATTTGCAGCTGCACATAAAGTAGTGCTGATTTTGCAATTTGAAAATAAATCCTTATACCAGAAACGAAATATTTGAGTTGCTTTATGCTAAACATGGTGGAAGTAAATGCAGTTCAGTTCTTCATCATGTCCTCTTTTTAGATGAGACATCCTACACTTGTGCCTATCCCGCCTCCCAGTTTCAATAATAAAGTATGTACAAATGCCTGTTTAAACATGTAACATTGTTTGGTTTTAATGCTAGCCTTTTGTAGCTACTTGATATTAATTACATTCCTTTTATACATATTTAGTAATGTCTAGGGTTGAGTATAGAAGTTTTGTTTCACAGGGAGGACCTTTACTAAAATATAAACTGCAATGTTAATAGTAGGGAGAAAAGAAAATAAAGTTCTTCTGGTCTATATATTGGTATTTTTGCCATATTGGTGTTGGAGTGATGTTAATGATATTAACTATGATGGTCCAGAAATTATTTGAGGCAAAGATTTTTTTGGGGTGATGTCTTTTATTAGGGCAGTTGCATAGTTGGGATAATGTTAGACAAACTTCAAATACAAGGCTTTCTTCTTCAGGTCTGAAGAGAAAAGCAAGCTCCTCCTTGGACCTGAAAAAGAATGTCTCGAGCAGGACCATCCCCAACGATATCATCCCAGCCAAAGCTTTGTCTAGCCGGGTCTTAAAAACCTCCAAGGATAAAGATTCCACAACCTCTCTGGGTAACCTGTTGCAATGCTTTACTACCCTCCTTGTGAGAGAGTTTTCTTAATATCTAACTTAAACTTTCCTTGCTGCAACCTCAGATGATTGCTTCTTTTTTTCTGTCATTTGCCACCACTGAGAACAGTCTAGCTCCATCCTCTTTGGAATCACCCTTCACATAGTTGAAGGATGCTAGTAAATCCCCCCTCAGTCTTCTCTTATCCAGACTAAATACGTGCAGTTCCCTCAGCCTCTTGTCAGAAGTCATGTGGCCCAGCCCACTAACCATTTTCATTGCTCTCTGCTGGACTCTCTCTGATTTGTCTATATCTTTTCCATAGTGAGGGGCCCAAAATTGGACACAATACTCCAGATGTGGCCTTGCCAGTGGCAAGTAGAGGGGAAGAATCGCTTTCCTTGAACTGCTGGCATCGCTCCTACTAATGCAGCCCAGTATGCCATTAGCCTTCTTGACAACAGGGGAACACTGTTGGCACATATTCAGCATATTGTCCATTGAAACCCCTGGGTTCTTTTCTGCAGAGCTTCTGCTTAGCCAGCCGGTCTCCAGCCTGCACCTGAATATGGGAAAGTTCCTTCCTAAGTGCAGGACTTTGCACTTGTCTTTATTGAACCTCAGCAGATTTCTTTTGGTCCAGTCCTCCAGTTTTGTGCAGTT